CCCCTTCCCTAGGGCCTCTACTATGGACCTATGGTCCTTAAGGATAGTACTACGTATATCTTTATTTAGTATGGACAAAAAATGAAGACTACCAATGGTATACACACATTGAGTCATGTGAGATTTGATAAGAATTTCGCCCCACTAAGATCGAGCAACTTAAGAGTAATATTTGATCGAGATGTCTGGTGGCCGGGGTAAGTTTAATGTCTAACAAGTGGGTAAAACAAAGCCTTGAAACTTGAAAGAGCTTAAATTTCTTTGAAATCTACTTGTAGCAAATAATATAATCATGAATAGATTGAAGTACGAGTATCAGGGAGAGCAATAAACCTTATAGAAGGAAATCATGATCAAAGACTTAGAATTGAATGGTACTACCTCCGTCCCGCTATGATTGTCCCCAGAGCCGGTCCTGTCAATTTTTGGACCTATGCGAGGTACGTTATTTTGGGCCTATATTCATGACAAACAATAAATCATATTTGGGCAATGAAGTTCATAAAATAAAGACGAGAATCACTTTATTATTATATAAATTACATATTTGGGCAAAAGTAACAACACGAGTATTGAATAAAAAGAAAAAACATTACTTAAAAACGTTTCTCGTAGACCAGTGTGAAGCAAATCATTAATAATTGCTTCATATGCAACCTTCTTTCCACTAATAAATATGACAAACAATAAAATTGCCACATATAACAACAGTAAACTTTATGTTGAAAGGATAAATGAAAAGAAATATTACCACATATTGAATTCATAATTGAGCATGATTTATTAACCGATGATGAGAGTCTAAAGTTTGAAGTCTCGAAAGAATGAAGGTTTTCAAAGAAACAAAATGTTTGACTGTCAAGAGGACTCGCGCAAGAAGATTGCAAATTTGACGTCCTCTAAAACTAATATTAGGAACTCAGATATAGCTTATTGAAATTTGGAAAGAAATGAATAATTGGGGTGAAATCTGAGAGAAACGGGCTTTAAAATAATTATATAAATTTGTTATGTTATAATTAAATTGAATAAAAAACCTTAAAAGTTAAAAAGATGTGAGGACTCGAGAGACGTGTCTTTTATTTATGCAGCAACAATTGTATTGCTTTTAAAAACTACAACCGATCCTGCTAAAAATTAATGTATATAATCTGTTTTAAACTTGTTCCTGTTTAAGACTCTTTATTTATGTTTTAAATTTTCAATTTGTTAACAAAATTAATCATTAGGCCTAATTAATTGAACTTAAGAATAAAAAAAAGCCTACTCACAGTATATATAAAGAAAAAATTTTGGGCCTATTTTTTCTTCTATTTTTTTCGGGATTAGGGGATACTATTCATCTTGTACTCCCTCCGTCCCGTTGGAGGGACTCAACCTTTTGGAGTTACGCTATACCATGGTGCATGATGTTTGCCGATGATATTGTACTGATTGATGAGACACAATCAGGGGTTAAAGCAAAGTTGGAAATATGGTGACAAACTTTGGAGACCAAGAGTTTCAAACTTAAGATGAAAACGATTGAGATTGATAACCTCAACACAAGCGGTTTATTGGTTTAATCAATATAATTAATTCCCCTTGGCATATTAACCATGAGATGCATGCATTAATATTCCAAGTTTACTACCGTTGAAAGAACCGGATTAATAACAAGCGTATTAACCGATTGATTCTAGTAATAATTTATATGAGAAACAATACTAGTTGATACTTTAAGTAATGTTTAAGATATTAACATGAAATATGAATAGGAATTAATCAATACTCAAGGAAGAATATTAAAATATATGAATCCTACTATGATTAATATCAAGATGTTAACTAATTGTCATCTTAGCAACACTCCCCAATATAATCATAGAGGAAGAAATAGCTATTACTATAACCAATGTCAAGATGTTAACTAATTGTCATCTTAGTAACACTCCCCAACTTTGATATAGAGATAGTATTTTGAAAGAAAGAATTAATATTCAAGGAAGAAGATTAAAGAAAATAACTCACAACTTACAAATTCATTAAGCTTCAAAGTAGCAAAACCAAGATGGAAGAGTTTAGCTCCTCATTTGGAGACTAAACATGATGAAAAATATAAAGAAAGAGCTATTCTATACTGAGCTTAGATGTACAAGGGATTGGATATCTTTTTGTGAAGGAAAGGAGGTGTATTTATAGGTTTTTGGGATGGGATTCGGGTACTCGATCGGGTATATACATGGTACCCGATCGAGTATATATGAATACCCGGTCGAGTATGCTTAGAAAGTGGTATTCGGGCTATACTCGACCGATCTTCGTTTGCAATTTAAAGGCATACCCGATCGGGTATGTCGGTCTACCCGATCGGGTATAGACATAGAATCGTGGCCAAAATCTTCCCTGCATGTTCCTTTGTCTTCGGATCTGATCCGATTTGAAGTTCCAACCTAATACCCGATCGAGTATAGCTAATACTCGACCGAGTATAGACCAAAATGCAGGATCTTCTTTTGTCTTTGAACTTTTGCACCTTCTCTTCACTTTTTGGGTTCACCAACTGTACTTTGGGTGACCAAAACCTGCTTAAGCTCAGAATATATCTAATCTAACCTATTTACAAGAATTTAACAATCTAATCTATTACACCAAAAGTGTGTAATTTCCAAAGTAAAAGTCAAGCAAAACTAATTAAAAACATAAACATAGAAATGGAAATTACGAACGTATCACTTCTCCCCTCTCTTTTCCACTCTCATCTTCACTTGATATCTTGTCAGAGAAGGAGACTCAGAGTTAGAGGTATAAGTTTCAGCATCATCAGTTGATTTTACAAAATACGTCTCAGATGATCGGGGAGAAGGAGATTGAGAACTTGTGCCTGATTAAGAGGATGTCGTTAACAAGGATATTTCATTTAAAAATTGTTCCCTCTCAAGTTCTAACGCCCGTTTTTCTTTATCAAAAGCTTCTTTCAATTCAGCAAACTTTCTCACAAAGGGTGGAATGTATGCTCGTTTGGCTACAGGCTCTGAAGTTGAAGGCTCCTCTTTATCTTACATAGTCTCTTTTGTAGGTTAAAAGGTTGGAATCTCTTCAGGAGGATTCAACGGGGGTTCTTTTGTTTCATAGCTCTTGTTCAAGGCAGCATAATCAAAATGAATTTCAGTTCTTGGATTGGTTCTCTTCTCTTCTCCTTCTTCTGCACATTCCTTTTCATATGTGAAGTACATCATCTTGGTCAGTCCAAGACCCATGTAATTCATGTCATAAAGTTGAGCACAATCCACTTTCTTTAAATTACAAGGATTGGAAAGACCAAGCCCTTCTTTGGAAGTGTAGAAACGGGTGTCCTTGGGTTGGTTCAAGAAGATTGTTTGTTCAGTCTGCCCCTTTGTAGCAAGTAAGTCTTCAAGATCTTTGATCTTGCAGTAAAGAGAAATTCTTTTATTTTGAAGAAAATCGTTATCAGCTTTTGTTGTGCTTCGCTCTATCTGGGTCTGATTCAACTCCTTTGTTAGATCAGCTATTTTCAGAGTCAGCTTCTCTGTTTCCAAAGTGATTTTCTTAACCTCTTCTTTGGAATTGTCCAATTGTATACTCAATGAGGTAGACTTATCCAGCTGCTTCAGTAGAACTTTGTTATTATTTGCTAATCTCTCTTCCAATTCCTTGATGATTTTGTCCTTATCTTTTGAAGAATGAGTTTGACAAATACATGAACAAAGAGATATAGCGTCCATTGTTGTTGATTGTTCAATGTTGACCGTAGACGTGAGTTTGATTGAAGTTTCTGCAATTTTCTGGACCTTGAAATGTAGCTTGGTCCTTGAGAAAAATAGTCTTAACCTTGAGAGATTTTTTTAATTAATTAATTTTAATTATTTTTTTTATCTCAAGGTTGACTCTTGGAAGCTTTGATTGTAAGGTTGACCTTTGGTGTTGAAGATTTGAGCTCAAAAATTGAAATGGGCTCAAAATTAGCGCTTGAAGTGGGAGTTTTACAAAAAATGTACTTATCCGAGAGAAGGAGAAAATGAATCTTTTTAGCAATCCCACACCTAAACTCCTTGGGAACTTTTGAGCCTGTATATATGAACCACTCCTTCCTTTTTTTTTTGGATGAAATGTAAATTTATATTAACACCCAAAAGAAACTATACATCATGAGTTCTAGATCTCCTAACCCCCCCCCCCCCCCCCCACAAAATGTAGGGGTAAAGAGAGGTTTTTATTCGATCTAGTTCAAATCTCAAAAATAAAATCAAAGGGGGCCTAAGTATAACATACCAAATGCCCCCCCCCCCCCCCAACAACAAAAACAAATCGGTGCTGCATAGAGCACGCACACAGATCAAATCAAGTCCAAAATCATGGCTATAGTTAAAGGAGGTTATAACTCACACTCCCTTAACGCAAAACATCAAAAATTAAAAATGCGATGTAAGGCACATCAACTTGATCATCAAAATCCATCATGCCGCGCCTTCAACTCTTGTGCTCAATGTCTATCTCTCAAAACTTGATCATCTCACGTGGGTATATGTTGAAGAGTATCTTATATACCACGTGTTTGATTTTTGCAATGACTTCTTCTTCCTTTTTACAAGTGCTATCAAATCGGTTCGCGTTTCTAGCTTGCCAAATGTGGTATAGAGTAGCACAGAAGGCAATCCGGACCGCTTTCCCTTTCAACTTTGATCCTTTGTGCTCCTTTAAGATCCATTTGACCGAACTCGAAATAGTAGTCATTCGATGCCTCAATCCTAGCCAATTCTTCACTTGCTCCCAAATCCTACAAGAAAAAGGGCAAAAAAAGAATAGGTGTGGCATTGTTTCCAATCCACCCTTGCATAAGTCGCATCTATTAACAATATGCAAATATTCAAGATTGTCTTGGGTGGGTAATCGATTTCGGAAAGCAAGCCAAACATTAAAGGAGAACTTAGGAGGGATATATGATTTCCAAAAAAAACTCATCCAAGTCCTAGGTTCTCCTTTAACTCTTAAGAGATCATAAATCTTTCCGGAAACAAGCTTCCCATTTATAGATCTTGCATTACGTCCCATGATAGTATCATTTAGGTTGTTAAAGCACCCCACAATTCGGTCACGGATATGGCTCAATTTCTTCATGAACATTGAGTCACGATTGTGTGGGATAAAATCCCACACACTCCTACCTTTGAGGTAGATCCCATTGACCCATCTAACCCATAAGGTATCCTTTTTCCTATGGACATCCCAAAGTGTGCGAGCAAGGAGGGCATGGTTCCAAGTCTTGGCATCATGAATGCCAAGACCCCCCTCCTCTCTTGGAAGGCAAATGTCATCCCAAGCCACTTTAGAATATTTCCCACCCCATAAAAAGATACGACAAATAGAGACAATCCTATCAAGGATGGTTTGGGGGACCGGGAAAACTTGGAGCCAAAAAGATTGTACCCCTTGGATAACCGATCTTATTAGCTCTAATTTTCCGGCATAGGAAAGGGTCTTTGTGTTCCATGCAGCAAGAAATTCAGATGTGGAATCAATTAGAGGTGCATATTGTGGAACCGAAATCTTAAGTGGGATTCCAAGGTATTTAACCGGGAATTGGCCACGCCCAAAATCCACAAGGGCCATGATCTCCCTTAGATCATTATCTTTAATTCCCCCCATGAAAATATTGGATTTATCATGGTTCACCATTAAGCCCGATGCATCCCCAAATTCTTTAAGGGCATTGACCAAGATTTCAATTGAAAAAGTGTCACCCCTAGAGAAAAGAATAAGGTCATCTGCATAGGCTAGGTGGGAAATGCCAAGTGATGCACATTGGGGATGGAAATTAAAGTTTGGTCCTTTGGTTCTAAAAGTAAGCATGCGAGAAAAATATTCCAAACACATAACAAAGAGCAAGGGGGACATCGGGTCTCCTTGTCTAATTCCTCTCTTTCCTTTGAAAAATCTGTATAGCAACCCATTCAAGGATACCGAAAACGATGCGGTTGTTACACATTCCATGATCCAAGCAATAAACTTCTCCGGGAAGCCCAAACCCTGCAAAACACTCTGAAGAAAATCCCATGAGATAGTGTCATAGGCCTTACGCAAATCCACCTTGATCATACATCTAGGTGAGATTCGCTTCCTCATGTATCCTCTAACAAGTTCCTGGGCAAGGAATATGTTATCAAACATGAGGCGACCGTCAACAAAAGCTCCTTGGGCTAGGTCAATCAAACCCGGTAGGCATGGTATGATTCTAGCGGCAAGGATCTTCGTAATGACTTTATACAACACATTAGTGCATGAAATCGGTCTAAAATCTGAAACCTTAGGTGAGTGGGTCGTCTTGGGGATAAGTGCAATAACCGTGTGGTTAATTTGCTTTAATAACTTTCCCGAACGAAAAAATTCCTTAGTAGCCCGTACTAAGTCATCACCCACAACATTCCAATTCTTTTTTAAAAAGGCGGAGGAATATCCATCCGACCCCGGCGCCTTGTCATCCCCTATATCAAATAGAGCCGCTTTGATATCTTTTGTTTCAACAGGGGCAGTGAGGCTAGCATGAACACTAGGTTCAATTTTGGGGCCATAATCCAAAATTCTTGGGTCAATTGGTTGGGTTTCCCCAACGGAGCCAAATAAGTCAACAAAAAAATTAAAAAATTCATTACCAACTTGCTCCAAAGAGGTGGTGAGACTCCCATCCTCAAGAGTAATAGCCGCTATGGTATTCTTTGTAGTTTTCCTCTTCACAATTGCATGAAAGTACCTTGTCCCCTTATCCGCTTCAAGGATGTGAGTCGCCTTTGCCTTTTGTTGGAAAAAGCTACACTCGGCCTCACTAAGAAACCTTGCCCTCTTGGTAGCCTCCTCCAATTGGCTTTGGAGACCCTCATCCAATGGATATTGTAGGACAGGCTTATGCAATCTTTGAAATTCTTCCTTCGCCATTTTAGCTTTGTTGGAGATATGTCCAAATTCATTGGTGTTGAGGTTCTTAAGTGGCCTTTTAAGAAACTTTAGCTTCCTCACCATGGAGAATTGAGCCGTACCTTCAATCACTTGATTCCAATGCTGCCCTACTAAATTAGCAAAATCATGATGCTTCATCCACATATTAAAAAATTTAAAAGGTTTAGGCCTTGGAGAGGAATTAAGGAGTATTGACACAACGGAGGCCGTATGGTCAAACTCCACCTCCATTTCATGGAAATGGGCCGTACACCTTATGCTATTGATTCCCCAAACATCGTTGATCAAAACACGGTCAAGCTTGGCCCAAAGTGCACCTTTGTTCCAAGTAAAGAACTCTCCCGTGGAGGGTGCATCTTGTAGGCTAACCGCGACCTTAAAGTCAAAAAGGTGTTGCATTACATACGCCGTAGGGGGGGTAGGACCCACCCTTTCATTAGGCGCAGCAATACAATTAAAATCACCACAAATCAACCAAGGTTCAACCACAAGGTCTCCAACCAAGGTTAAATGATCCCACAAGGCCTTTCTTTCAAGAACCGTGTATAAAGGATAGACAAAAGTAGTCAAAAACGTTGTTTGCGTGATACAACAAGTACATCTAGCATGCATAAATTGCTTGTCTATTTCCAAAAAAACACAATTTATTAACATCGGGTTCCACATGATCACCATGCGTCCCCCACCAATTAGATCAAAATTATTCTTAAAAATCCAAACCGGCCATTTATTTAAAATATAATTATTTAATGCGGCCAAGGTCATTTTAGATTCCAAAAACATACCAAACAAATATTATTTGAATTGATATAAGAAGCAATTAAATTATGTTTAGAAGCCTTATTTAGGCCCCTAACATTCCATACCAAAAACTTCGTCATCAAGTGAGGTAAAGATCTGTGGTGGGTCCTCCACCCTCGGTTGTTCCCTTCCTTTCTTCCCTTCGCTTCCTCCTCATCATTTCCTAGAAATATGCCTTGTTCTCCTTGCTGTTTTCATCAAAGAAAGCTACAACATTAGGAATAAAAAGAAGAGGGTCGAAATCATACCAAGAGGCCTTTCGCTTGACTCTCGGAAGCGTGAGGAGACATTGATGCGTGAAGCTCATTCCCGGGCTCTTATCTCCATCCGCTCTCTTGAAGTCCGGCCCAAATCTTTCCTCAAAGTGACTAAGTGGAAGATAAGCCCTCTTCATAACAAAGACGCTTCTCTTGCCCTTGTCATCAAACTCCATTTTGGTGACCACGTCTTCCATGTCCATCTCATATACACTTTTCACCCTCTTGCCCCCAATATCCTTATCCGGGGTTTGAATGCCATCCACAAATTCCTTTGTTAGATGGTTCATCTTTAGAATAAAAGGATATGTAGGCTCCTTGGGCTTAGGCGCAACCAAAGTCTTGTCCACCGGTTTGGGCACCAATTGAGTAGAAGTGGAGGCACCCTTCCCATTATTAGGTTTCTTGGCCTTAGTTTTCTTCTGGGCGACTAGTTTGAAAGGAGGGTCTTCACTAATGCCCTTCCCCTTATCCATAGTCGTGCCTCCCTTGCCTTGATCAACACCCGTGACCCCTTTCCCATTAGTTTTGGCCGCGGCAATAGTGAGTGGTGGCAAGTGCGGGTTAAGCACCTTACACTCAAATGGATTATGGCCAAAAGCCTTGCAATGATAGCAAAATTCAGGATAGGTCTCATATAGGACCCTTTGATTATATTCCTTTCCCGAAAGAGGAATAATAGGAAAGTTAAGCACCGGGGCCTTTGAGACATCCACCTCAATGAGCACTCGTGCATATTTCGTGAAAGTCTTCTCTTGGGTTACCTTGTCGGTGGTGATTGGTACCCCAATTTGGGATGCAATCTTCCCAATTTCCGTAGCCCTCCAAAGCCTCAAGTGTAAGTTTGGGAACTTAACCCAAATCGGCACCCTTAAGAATTCTTCACTTCCGAATGAAAAGTCATCAGAAAGTGTTTTAAGGAACATAGTCTTCCCATAAAGCACATAAGGGCCCTCGGTAAGAACCTTAACCCGATCTTCATCACTCTTGAATGTGAAGATAATCCATCCTTTGCTATGTGATTTGACATCAACTCGAACCCCCCATTTCTTTGTCATATCAAAGATAACCTTCATGCCCGGGAATCTACCCGAGAAATGCCCAACCAAGCAATAGCCCCAAATGTCAATGAGAGATGGTACCTCAAGATGGGAGAAATCAAGCTTTTCTCCGGAGGGGGGGAAGTACTCAAGTTTGAGACCATTTGAAGGTGCCCGGTTGTCTCGAAATAGAGAGGCATATGTTAATGGTTCTTCCTCAAAATCATCTTTCAAAGAAAACGTGTCCTGGGACCCAAGTGAGATAGACCCCTCGGGTTCATCATTATCCTGGAGGCTGTTTTCGTCCGAAGTTTCAATAATAGGGGCATCCCTATCCACCACTGTTTTGAGAGCAAGTGATATCTCTGGGGATGCCGCGGCATTAGACGAGGTGGAATCCAACCCCAGGAGTTTAACTGCATAAGTCCCCTGTGATGCCGCAGTGCTTGATGATGCCGCGGCATTGCCTCTTTGTCCCCCTATACCCGCGGATGCCGCGGCATTGGTTGACCCTGGTGGTTTTTGTGCCTCAACTTGAGCTCCTTGTCCCACAGTTCCCACAGATGCTGTGGATATGGACACCGGTTTGTTTTGTGCCGCGGCAAACGCACCAGTGGAGTTGGAGAAGATTGGGTCTGAAGCCGGTATAACCTTCTTCATGGGGGCTTTTTCCTTCCCCTTTTCCATTTCCAACGCAGCTTGCTTGGCCATCAAGTTTTTGATTTTATCCTGGAATTGCTTATCCTTCAGGGGTGGGGTCCGCAGCTGCTTGTTCTTCCTTGTCATGGGCAAAGCTCAATGAAGGAGAAGATGAACAGTAGCATAGACGAACATGAGATTTCGCGCACATTTGAGCCTGTATATATGAACTACTCCTTCCTTAATATTAAAAGGTGAAGGAGAAGAGGGGAGCTCTCGCGCACATGAGATTTCGGCCTTCAGTTCAAAATTGAAAAATCGCACCCCCTGCGCAGGCGACACCTGCGGACACGAATGCTGCAAAATTCAGCGGGTCTCAAAAGACAAATGCCTGAATCTCGAGATTTTTTTAAATGGGCTTCGAGAACCTCAATCTCGATATTTTTTGTCGAGAACCCGAACCTCGAAATCTTGAACCTCGACAAATGCCTATCGAGATCTTGAACCTCGAGATCTTGAACCTCGAGATCTTGAACCTCGAGAAATGCCTATTGAAAACCTGAGCCTCGAGATCCCTGTCTTCTTCGTAAAACCTGCGAAAAACCTCAAAACTTCGAAATCTCAAAAATCCTAAACACGGAATTTCTGCCTTCTTTATACCAAATGTTCATCGAAACCTTCCAGCAAACGCAGAAAAACGTCCAAACAAGGTCGATCAAGCCAAAAATAGCAGAAAATTAAATTTTCGAAATATTTCTTCAACGTCAATGGCAGGTTCGAAAAATGTAGAAAATATTCAATCGATTTCACGCTCGGCTCTGATACAATTGTTTGTCCCAACATCAATCAACAATCATACAATATAATAGAAGTAGAGAATCACAGAATGATAGAGATATATTGATCGTTGAAACCCTCTTCTGTATACCGTATAAGCTCCGAGAAAGATATGAGCGTTAATAACTTGTGAGACTTAGGGTTTTCTTAAGTTAGCATCCTTTTATACATAAGGATGTCTAACTTAAGGCTTACAAGTGGGCTAATGGGCTAGAATACATTTGTGGCCCATATTACACATTTAATTAATAACTACACAAATACAAAGATATTTAATTAGATTTGACACCATAAAATATTCCTAAGAGAATCACCTTGCTTTATTATCCTAATTCCAAGGATAACTTCCGCTTCACCCATATATTTCATGGAGAAGTTTGAACAGAAGAAAGCTTTTGTCTCTTTCACTTGCCTCAAATCAGTGCCAAATATGAGCATGTCGTCCACATATAAACAAATAATGACACCATTACCATGCTCATTAAATTTACTATATACGCATTTGTCTGATTGGTTTATTTGAAAACCATTTTTCAACACCACCTCCTCAAACCTTTTGATGTCATTGTTTAGGTGCTTTTTTTAGACCATACAAGAACTTCACAAGTTTACAAACGTTCTTTTCGTGTCCTTTAACTACAAACCCTTATGGTTGTTTCATATACACCTCCTCCTCCAATTCACCATTTAAGAATGCAGTTTTGACATCCATTTGGTGAATCACAAGATTGTGAATGACTAATAAAGCAATTAACAATCTTATGGTAGTTATTCTGGCTACCGGCGCATATGTATCAAAGTAATCAATACCATGTTTTTGTTTAAAGCCTTGTGCAACCAATCTAGCTTTAAACTTGTCAATGGTACCGTCTACTTTCATTTTCCTCTTGAAAATTCATTTACAATCGATTGGTGTGCAACCGGGTGGTAAATCACTTAGAACCCAAGTATTATTGCCCATGATTGAATCCGTTTCATCGTTCACGGCCTCTTTCCAGAAGGAATCATCTTGTGATTTCATCGCCTCCTCAAAAGAGAGGATCCTTCTCAACACTATAACAATATAGTGTTTGAGTTACGAGGGTCTCTCTTGATCCTTCAACCAAATATAATTGGAAATCGTGACCAAATAACTTTTCTTTTCTAGCCCTCTTACTCCGTCTAATTCAAGGCTCATTTTCGTGATCCTTTTCTAGTTCATGAAAATGTGAATTACTCTGACTGAGATTAACATTCTTTGGTCTAGGAATAGAAGTGATCCGCTTCTCATCGAAAAGAGCATCCCTAGACTCAATAACAGTATGAACCGCGATTGAGTCATTTGTTTCAATAACATAGAATCGATATGATTTACTATGTTCAACATATCCAATAAAAATGCACTCAACGCCCTTTTCACCTAACGTTTTTCGTTTAGGTTCCGGTAATCTCACGATTGCCCCTACAACCCCATACCCTAAGATAACTTAGTTGGGGTGTTCTCTTATGCCAAAGTTCATATGGGGTTATTTTATTTCTCTTGTTAGGAATTCGATTAAGAACATAACAAGCGGTTAACATAGCATCACTCCGAAATCCATTACTTAATCCTGAATTAGACCACATGGAAGTAACAATTTCTTCTAAAGTTCTATTTTTTCTTTTAGATATGTCGTTTTGTTGCGGCGTGTAAGGGACTTTTGTTTCATGGATTGCTCCAACGGATTCAAAAAATTTAGGCTCATAATATAATATTCTCCTCCTTTGTCAGTTCTAAGCCTTTTTACTTTCTTTTCGGTTTGTAACTCAACTTCCGTTTTAAAAACTTTGAATTTATCCATTGCTTCATCTTTTGAAAATAAAAGATATATATAACAATATCTTGTGCAATCATCAATAAATGCGACTACGTATTTTTTATTTCCAAAAGGAGTGCTA